TCTCCCTCCTTCTCAAAAAGAGACAGTGCAAAACTGATAGAGACTCAGAATATTTAACCAAAGTGACTAATGGCATGGAGCAGCTTACAGGAAGCAGGGCTAGTCCAACAAACTGGCATTCTTCAGCCTGGGAGAAAGGACCTCAAAGCGGGACATGATCCAAGTGTATAAGATAAAATGGCACACAGAACAGGAGTAGGAAACTATTACTTGTCTCCTCTAAAATCAGAAAATGGTGAAACATAAGTAAAAAGAAAACAAAAGAAATAGGTTTTTCTCACAGCATAGTTAGGCTGGCGGAGTTCTTCAGCAGGGTATCATGGGGGAAGAGAGTTTAGATGAGTTCAAAAAGTAATTGGACAAATTCATGAGGGAAAGAAAAACAAGACTATTAAAAATATAGACATCAACCCTGTCTCAGCAAGTTTCTGAGCTGCATATTATTGGGAGAATATTCTAGGGAAGCATAATTAATGCACTTAAAAGATTAAAAATGGACCAGATTAAAAAAAGAATAAAATCAGTGAATGATACTGTACAAAAAGCACAAGTACACTATTTCATCCAGAAGATGATCCAGAAGAAAAAAGCAACAAAACTTGCAAAAAAAAAAAAAAATCTGCCACTGCAAATACTAAGCACCAAAAAAACACTTCAGACCTGAATCTTCACTATACCTTTTAGGTTAAAAAAAAAAATGAACCCACAGAAACGGTATAGTATCTGGTATTCTGATGATTTTTCCTTCCTGTGTAAGAAATGGAAGAAATCTTCAAACAATCTCAGAAAGCAGAAAACCACATTTATCCTTATTGTTTTTATCTATTTTATACAACAAAACGAGGGTGTGTAGTGAAGAGACTGGAGATCTGCAGATGGGTACCAAGACTGTGTCAAGACTCCTGGAAGTTAAGACACTTATGTACAGATTTAGAAAGAAATAATAAGACTGCAGGAGACCAAGTCTAGAGACTGGGAGAAGAAAAGAATGTTTCCTGACCTATCGTTTTTTTCCCTCCTGTGGGATACTGGGCAGAATACATGCATAGATCAAAGAGCACCCCCATCTCTGACTTCCTTAATGTTGTGGTTCATCCCTGCCCCCTTAAAATATGTTTTTTATTTTGTTAAAAAGTATAAATATTTAACTTGCTTGAAAACGCTGGTTTCAAAAAATGGACATGTGTTATTCTTTATATATGGCAGTTTTTAAAGTAGGCTTAATATGATGATTACTTGATATTCATGAATAACAAAACTAATTACTGTTGCTAAATCCATATGCCCCATGCAGCTTTAATATGCTGAGGCTTCCCTTTATCCATTAAAAAAAGATTTAAATGCTTAATGATTTTTAAGCTTCAGAGAATGGGACAGTAACTTTTGCATTTTTAACTAACTATGGCTTATTCTTTGAACTCCAGGACAGATGAATGGAATTTGCTGAACTCAGAATTGCAGGAACTAGAAATTGGTAGGGATTATTATGAGCAGTTACAGATTGTAACATTAGAACTAAACCAACTAGACTGAAATTACAGCAGACACAGTCCTATCTTGACATGAAAAAACAATGAGATGTTCAGTTTTTTGATATGTTCCTTGGCAAAGTTTTTTGTGCCAAAGGAGATCTTTTCTTGAACATTCAACCTTGAGTAATCTGTTTCCTTTCATTTAATTACATAATTCCTTCTAGAGCTCTAGATTTCCTTCTACAACCCTTGATTATTCTGCTTCTGCCTTGACATTTATACTTCTCAAATATGTATGGATTCATACTCCAAAACGTCTACCTTGTCATCTCTCATGCAAGCTGTATGCATTTGACTCTAATTTCTTTTTCTACTTTTTTTCACAATCAGTAGCAGAATCCAGAATATTTTCATTGTTTTCCCGTGAACTTTTGGTTAGCTTCAAAGAACTCTCTGCTGGAAGAGGTGTCAGCCTGCTCAGCTAACAAATGAGTGCTGACCTTGCTGAATAAAGAACCTCACCGAGGAGGTCTCTGATGACTGGAAAACAGCAGTCCTCCTGCTCATCTTCAAAAAGAGCAAGGCAGAGGATCCAGGGAACTACCAGCTAGCCAGTTTCTTTGTGCTCCCTGACAAAAGGATGGAACTAATTTTCACAGAAGCCATTTCCAGACTCTGGAAAGTGTCTAGGAACAACAATGAAGATTTACCAGAGGTAAATCAGGGCTGA